TTCTATGGTCGCACTGATGTAATATTAGTTATATATACTCACTTGGTCGGCCGTCACTACATGAAGTGACCGTTACTTGGGGGGGCGACCGCAAGCGTAGAACACTTGGCCCCATAGGGGCGAGAGTCTCGATGCCACCCTGCCAAAGTAGGCCTATCGACACTGGCACTGGCACCTGCACCTGCAGTAGCCGTCCAACCAAATACTCACAAATCGCTTGGTGATCGCCGGTGAACACACGGAATATTTGCGATTAATGCCGTAAGGGATGAGAAGAACCTTCGGTGACAATGCTTAGGGTGACATCCGATATTCACCGACACACTGTGAAATTCCCGCTCCCACACTCTGAATATGTCCCCTCCAATAACACTTTAGATCAGGGAGGACACTCCACCACACCCACACCGCGCTGGCCCACCAATAGCCACACCTTCGCCGCCATTTTATTACCTTAATATTAAATATCCTAATACATAAGTAGCTATCCTAGCTGTGGTGAGTTAGTTGAGCCGCAGATCTATGCGGCATTCAGTGACAGTTGCCTCATAGTCAATCTGCCACCGTTGTCGGCTTTGGGCCGACGATCTCGTTCCCCTGAGGCAATGCAATGCAGACCTAAGGAGACAGAGAAGGGCAGTCGACATCTCATCCAGGCTGTAACATAACTTCTGGGCTGCTACTTCTGTTAGGATAGCACCTCTGCGAGTCTGGCGTAGAAGCATCTTGCACTTGGTCCCATCCCACCAGAGGTTGTGAACACCAGAGGAGTGAAGCTGCCTTGATCAACATTCAGAATTCTCTCCCCATATGCCCTGTTCTTGTCATTCTCATTTCTCCTGTGTGACTACTGCTACTACTTACTATTACTTATTAATACTCACTTCTTTGCATGTATGTATGTATGTTCTCAATTCGAGAAGGTCACAACCTAGGTGAAGGACTCAACTGCCCCCTACTGGTTCTTAAGGTGTATAGAGCTAACCTCTTTTACACTTGCATTTTGTGGTGTCACTCTAACCATCTTTGTAGACAGAATTTAATCTCTCTCTCTCTCTCTCTCTTTGTTCCCCGTCAGCGAGGTGTGAAAGAGGTACACTCAGGTGACGTCACACAACAGGTTACGCCTCGTCCACCTGTTGTCACCACCAGTGCCACCCATGTCAGGTAGAGAAAGAAGGAACATAGCTAAGAGGCACCACTACCCGCACCAACTCACCACCACTACCCGCACCAACTCACCACCACTACCCGCACCAACACACCACCACTACCCGCACCAACACACCACCACTACCTGCACCAACACACCACCACACTACCCACCAACACACCACCACTACCGCACCAACACACCACCACTACCTGCACCAACACACCACCACTACGCGCCAACCACCCACCACTACCCGCACCACCACCACTACCCGCACCAACACACCACCACCCTACCAACACACACCACCACTACCTGCACCAACACACCACCACTACCCGCACCAACACACCACCACTACCCGCACCAACACACCACCACTACCTGCACCAACACACCACCACTACCCGCAACACACCACCACTACCGCACCAATCACCACCACTACCCACACCAACACCATCACTACCCGCATCAACACACCACCACTACCCGCACCACCACACCACCACTACCCGCACCAACCACCACTACCCGCACCAACACACCACCACTACCCGCACCAACACACCACCACTACCTGCCAACACCACAACTACCCGCACCAACACACCACCACTACCCGCACCAACACACCACCACTACCTGCACAACACACCACACTACCTGCACCAACACACACCACTACCCGCACCAACACACCACCACTACCGCACCAACACACCACCACTACCCCACCAACACACCACCACTACCTGCGCAACACACCACCACTACCCGCACCAACTCACCACCACTACTGCACCAACACACCACCACTACCCGCCAACACACCACCACTACCGCACCAACACACCACCACTGCACCAACACACCACCACTACCCGCACCAACACCACCACTACGCACCAACACGCCACCACCCGCACCAACACACCACCACTACCCGCACCAACACACCACCACTACCCGCGCAGCACACATCCACCACCTGCACCAACACACCACCACTACCCGCACCAACACACCACCACTACCGCCCAACACACCACCACTACCCGCCCAACACACACCACTACCCGCACACACCACCACTACCCACAACACACCACCACTACCCGCAACACACCACCACTACACCAACACACCACCACTACCCGCACCAACACACCACCACTACCGCTCACCACCACTACCCGCACCAACACACCACTACCTGCACCAACACACCACCACTACCCGCACCAACCCACCCACTACCTGCACCACACCACACACCAACACACCACCACCACCCGCACCAACACACCACCACTACCCGCACCAACACCACCACTACCCGCACCAACACACCACCACCTGCACCAACACACACCACTACCGCAACACACCACCACTACCCGCACCAACACACCACCACTACCCGCACCAACACACCACCACTACCCGCACCAGCACCACCACTACCCGCACCAACACCACCACCACTACCCGCACCAACACACCACCACTACCCGCAACACACCACCACTACCACGCCAAACACCACAACTACCGCGCAGCACACCACCACCTGCACCAACACACCACCACTACCCACCAACACACCACCACTACCCGCACCAACACACACCACAACTACCGCACCAACACACCACACTACCACCAGCACACACCACACCAACACACCACCACTACCCGCACCAACACACCACCACTACCGCACCAACACCACCACTACCTGCACCAACACACCACCACTACCGCACCAACACACCACCACTACCCGCACCAACACCACCACTACCCGCACCAACACACCACCACTACCCGCACCAACACCACCACTACCTGCCAACACACCACCACTACCCGCACCAACACACCACAACTACCCGCACCAACAACTACCCGCACCAACACACCACCACTACCCGCACCAACACACCACAACTACCCGCACCAACACACCACCACTACCGCACCAACACACCACTACCGCACCAACACCACCACTACCTGCACCAACACACCACACTACCCGCACCAACACACCACAACTACCCGCACCAACACACCACCACTACCCGCACCAACACACCACCACTACACCAACACACCACCACTACCCCACGCCAACACACCACCACTACCCGCACCAACACACCACCACTACCGCACCAACACACCACCACTACCGCACCAACACCACCACTACCCGCACCAACACACCACCACTACCCGCAACACACCACCACTACCCGCACCAACAGCACCACAGGAATGCGGGTAACAGGAATCTGTATAAACTTCCTCTGCCCATTAACGTCGCCAGAATAAATACCTTAGCAAAGTTTTTTAATTAAGGGAAAAATTGTTCCTCGGAAGACATAAATCATTTTAAGTTAACTCACTATTAACATTGACCAGCAATTAACATTAACCTTCATTATACACCACGGGGGGCTTGAAACAATTGGCATTCACTACCTGGTTGTGTTCCGGGAGGAGTTCTCATTAGCTCTTAGCTTGCTTTTTGGAGGTCATTAAGAAACCCGTAGTTATGGTTGGTCATTGAGGGCGGTGAGGCGTCTCTCTCACCTGGGGAAGCAAGGGTCAACGACTGGCAAGATGGGAAGAATAGGGAGGGAGGGGGTAAAGGGGGTTGGTTGGTTTACATGTAAGTCTGCCCAGTGTTTGTCCAGGCCATCATTTGGCGTAGTAGAAGGTGTATTAGTGTTGTTACTCCTACCCCACACACACTACTACTACTACTACTACTTTGCTGTCACTCGGAATCGAGTATGACGATCATCTATCTAGTCATGATATAATGTTATGAGCTATTAAAATTGTCACCTTCGTTGGAGAGCTTTGAGGCGACTTGCGAGGCCGATGCGGGATCGGCAGAGCCTTCCAAAGATGTTGTACGTGTGGAGGGCTGCATCTAGTGCGGGAGGGGCGGGGCGATAGCGTCTTTCCAGCGCTGGCGCTTGTCTGCCTCGGTATGCAGTCGGGCTAACTCGAAAATATTGACACCGTCTCGTGTGGTGCTCCTCCAAGCATTACGGTGTGCAGTAATCGTCTCCCAGGTGAGGGGGTCGATTTGGTACGTTTTCAGGTTTGTCTTAAAACTGTCTTTATGCCTTTTCCGTTGCCCGCCAGCGTGAGGTTTATCATTCACTAGGTCGTCCATGCGGGTAACATGGCCAGTCTAATGTAGTTCTTCAAGGATGATGGCAGCCTCGATGCTCCTACAGTTGGAGTCAGCAAGAATACTGGCATTTGTTCTCTTTGTCTTCCCAGCGAACTCGAAGGATGGAATGTAGACTACATTGGTGAAAGATTTCAAGTGCCTTGAGGTGCCTCCTGTATGTGACCCATGTCTCGCTGCCATATAGCAGGGTGGGGAGGACCAGTGTTCAATATACGTGTAACTTTGTAGATAATTTCAACTCCCTACAGCTAAAGACACGGAGACTGCAAAAGGCATAAGATGCACATCTGATCCGATGTTGAATCTCTTCATCGATGTCTGCAGCGGTGGACAGGTGGGAGCCGAGATACCGAAAGTACCTAGAGAGGGTAATACCATTAAGCAGGATGGGTGGTGAAGGTGTGGTTCAACCAGGGACAGGCTGAAGAGTCCTAAAGTATATTCACCTCGAGGCTGAAGTGTGCTAACGCATCTGTGTAGGTGTTCGGGATCTCCTGTAGGTCGCGTTCGGTGTGAGCGACAAGGGTGGGGTCGTCTGCATACTGAAGTTCAGTAATGGAAGCGGCCGATACCTTTGTTCCTGCCTGGAATCGTCTTATGTTGAAAAGTCCCTTCACCCAGTACTAGATGTCCACCCTGCCAGCCAAATTGGCACTGGCACAAGTAAGAAAGGCAGCCAAGAAAATGGAAAAGAGAGCTGGTGCCAGTACACATCTTTGCTTTACTCCCGTTTGGATGGGAAAAAACTCAAACTGAGTGCTGTTGTGCAGGACATTGCCGTTTATGCCTTCGTGGAGTTGCCTCACAATGGTGATGACTTTTGGTGGGCAGGTAAACCATTTGAGGGTCCACCAGACGGCTTCCCTGTTGACCGAGTCAAAGGCCATGGCAAGGTCGATGGAGGCCATGTACTGGTCACTATGCTATTCTCAGCACTTTTCCTGTATCTGGCGGGCAGTAAAGATCATGTCAGTGGTGCCATGTGATAGTCTAAAGTCACATTGAGATTCTTGGAAGAAGTTTTCCGTCTCAGGGAAGAAGTCTGTTTTGGAAGACTCGGGCGATAATCTTGTCAGCTACAGACAGCAGCGAGATCCCGCGGTAGTTGCCACAGTCTGACCGCTCTCCCCTGTTCCTATAAATATTGACGATGGATGCGTCTTTAAGAGCTTGAGTTTCTTCCTTTTCATATATTCTCCAGGAGAGAGTGGAGACGGCTTGTAAGCAGAGGTCCCCTCCTTTGTACACCTCGGCTAGGATTCCATCAGGCCCTGACGCTTTGTTATTTTTCATCTGTTTGGTAGCAGTAGCTACCTCATCCAGGGATGGAGGATAGCTGAGGTGGGTCAGCTCTGGGTGCTGAGGTACCTGCTGGGTAGTCAGGAAATCTACATCGGTGTTTCGGTTGAGCAGCGAATGGTAGTGCTCCTTCCAGCAACCGAAGGATGCCTTCTTCGCCTTCAAGTTACCATAGAATGAGGGGACGAGGGCTACGCCATGCGTGATTGGCTCATAAAATGTTTTAGTTAAATGGAAAAATTCGCGCATTTTCTGTTGATATGCAAGTTTTTGCCTTTCATATTCTATATTTTTCAACAATTCGTTCTTTAGATTCCGAAGTTCGTGCTGAACCGCCACTTTCTTCTTGTGGAAGGTATCAGCTTTGATCTGAGACTGAGGGTTGTTCAACCAGTCAGTTAAAACAGCACATTTATCATCGACAAATATGTTGATTTCCGGGTCATTTTCATCAAACCATTCCAGATGTGTTCTTTCCATCTACCAGAAGGTCTCTCTGAAGGTTTTTGTCATGACAGTGTCGAGAATACCCCATTCGGCACTGGGATTTGCGTTGTTTGTTGTCGGGTTGTTTATCAACCCATGTGGCGAAGCTGCTCTCTGATAGCATGTACAACCGTTGAATCCTCCAGACGCTAGTGTTGAAACCTCTTCTCAAGGCTTGTTGCCTTCGCCTTTTTGGGGCGACATGATGTGAGAGTTTGGCTCTGACGAGCCGATGATCAGTATCGTGGTGGTCTGAATCACGCATGGCAAGGGTGATGAGGACATCTCGGCGATCTTTTTTCTGACAATGATGTAGTCAATAACATGCCAGTGTTTTAATCGTGGGTGTTGCCAAGAACACTTGAACTTGTCGGCCTGCGTTAAACAAGGTGTTGGTGATAGTGAGGTTTTGTTCAGCACACTTGCCGAGGAGGAGTAGGACGTTGGGATTACACTTGCCTTGTCCATTTCTCCCTATGTTTCCCTGCCAAATATCAGCATCTCTGCCAACTCTGGCATTGTAGTCACCAAGAAGCACAACCTTATCTTCTCTGGGGATAGAGGTTAGCACTCTGTCAAGGTCAGCGTAAAAGGCCTCCTTGATGTCATCCTCTGCATCCAGTGTTGGGGCGTATACACTGATGAAGGAGGCATGACGTGAGTGATTCAGTGGCATTTCAGTTAGAATATGTAGAATGGATTGGCGAATGGCAAAGCCAACTCCATAAATGCGGTTTCTTTCCGGAGCAGGCTTACCCTTCCAGAAGAAGGTATTGCCAGAAACCCGTCCTGTGAGTTGGCCTTCGTCTGGTAGCCGGGACTCACTAATGGTTGCTCTGTCGATGTTATACCTAGACAAATCATTTGCGACAAGGGCGGTTCTTCTTTTAAGACGCTCATTTGTGCCAGTATCCAGAAGGGTCCTGACATTCGATGCAGTGACCATAAGAGGATGAATAGGTTTTTTCTTCTGTAATTGTGATTATGTTTTCGACCGCATAAGGATGACCTTACTGGGTGAGGTTGCCCATTTAGGTTAGGTATTAAGGCAGGCTATGTTTAGGGCACCTTTTCTAGTCCCCACCCCATTTGGGGTGAGCAGAGTGGCTCCACGAAAGGGCTGCTCAGTCGCACGGATAGGACCGGATTGCACTGCTGCCTCGATCCCAGTGCATAAACGACCACCTTATCTTTGCCGCCCATGTGCAGAGTTGTGACTAGAGACTCCCGGCAGTCATCTCTGCCTGTCCCCGTCGCCAATCGTTCGTCGCCATCAGACTTTTGGGGGTATAGGGGTTTTGATAATAATGAGAAGTGTGATGAGCCTGATGATGGCTGCGCGTGAGTTGATTTATGTGGCGAGGCAGGAGCGCAGGCTGCAACCACATATCTTGGCTCTCACTTTTCCTCATCCAGTGGTGCAAGTGTTGCAACGACTGGGGAGAGGGAGAGGATCAATGGACTACTGATAGTCGGGTTTGTTGGGTTTCGCCTGAGTAGCCTGTCCATCATGCATTTCCTTTATCCGCTGGTGTAGTCATTGGGTTCCCATGTTGGTCACCTTTTCCGCCTATATACCGTTGGGGTCTTGTTGGAGCTCTGTAAGCATGTCTGCCTGATGCGGGGCTCCACCGCAGATTTTTCGTTCGAGGCTTACTCCCGTAGCGTTATACCTACCAAGGTTAATCCGCAAGGCAGCGGGGCAGTGGTTGGTAGGCGGCAGGACGTGTCCACATGCCAGTGGGCCTATGCGCCGTCCCTCTGGGGCCCACTGCTACTCCAAGATCCCCTGCTGGTCTAGCCTGGGCCCACGAGGCACCCAGTTACCGTGTGTTGCCACGAGGAGGCACAGCAGGAGTCTTGACGGTGAGGAGGCTGTGTACTGGCAGGGGAGGACTTATGCAAGTTGCTTCCCTGTTCGCCATGAGGGCTAGCCAGCGGCGGGAGCTGAGAGCGAGAGGGAGCAAGCAAGCAGTGCTTGCACCTTAACACTAACTCAATGCTGCATTAGGGCATTACACCACCCTGTGTGCGAACACACACACACACACACACACACACACACACACACACACACACACACACACAGGGGAATGGGGAGATCCGCGGCAGGGGGTTGGGGTCCGTGGCAGGGGGTTGGGGTCCTTGGTAGGAGTGGGGTCCGTGGCAGGTGTGGGGTCCGTGGCAGGGGTGGGGTCTTGGTAGGGAGTGGGGTCCGTGGCAGGTGTGGGGTCCGTGGCAGGGGTGGTGTAGGGTGGGTCCGGCCCATTCGCAGGGGTGGGGTCCGTGGCAGGGGTGGGGTCCGTGGCAGGGGTGGGGTCTGTGGCCAGTCAGGGTTATCGCTGCATAATGATCTATTGTATGGCGTGAACAAGACCAAGTGGAGCTGCCAACTCCCTCCACCACTCCTCCCTCCCACCACCTCCTCCACTACTACCTCCTCCACCACTACCTCCTCCACCACTACCTCCCTCCACCTACCTCCCTCCACCACTACCTCCCTCCACCACTACCTCCTCCACTACTACCTCCCTCCACCACTACCTCCCTCCACCACTACCTCCTCCCACCCTCCTCCACCCTACCTCCCTCCCACACTACCTCCCTCCACACTACCTCCCTCCACCACTACCTCCCTCCACCCTACCTCCCTCCACCACTACCTCCCTCCCTACCTCCTCCACCATACCTCCCTCCACCACCCTCCCTCCACCACTACCTCCCTCCACCACTACCTCCCTCCCCACACCTCCCCCCTCCCTCCACCTACCTCCCTCCACCCCTACCTCCACCTGTCCCACCATCACACCACACCAGATAAGCACTTACCAAAATGTCTCCACTAAAACCGAAGAAACCGTGGTCAGCATTATGGGAACAGGCAACAGAAGTGCTATGATGACCCTAAACTGAAAAAACTCAGGGCTAGAGTCAGGAGGGTGGGCAAGGGTTACAAACAAACTAGAACACCTCAAATGTTACAATTGTAACATGTTATGACATGTTATTAACTAGGACTCAGGACTCCTTGATGCGAAGTCTGTAGAGAGAAGTAATCTTATTAACTTTATGCTGGGCAAACAGCACGATGAGTGTGATGTTCCATACACTGAGGGCTTAACACCGCCTTAGGGGTAGGTCTACTTCCTGCTGAAGGACGGTCACCTACAACATCGTTAGACTACTAGGCGTGTGCAGGGCAATCCATTGTTGGTATTGTACAATATGAGTCAGCCGAGGCCAACTACCCACATCATGGACCAGCAGTATTGTTGTACCAATACCGAAGACAGGACAGCCTGATGCCTTTTCGTCCTATCACTAACCAGCTGCCTGTGTAAAACCTTTGAGAGGATGGTTCTTGGCAGACTCTTATATAGAATCAGAGAACACATGTCTCCTAACATAAATGGCACCCATGATAAAGGTGTACATAATTGCATCACCACATGCATGGTGATGAAAACAGATACACCACATTTCTTGACCTAAAAGCCTCATTTGATATTGCCAATAGGTAACTGATATTGTACGAACTAGCCAAATGGATATAGGAGGTAGGCTGTTACACTGGATAAGTGGTTACCTAACCAACAGAAAGGCTGCTGCACTGTTTCAGGGTTACAAAGAAGTTATATGCAACTTGGTACCCTCAAGATGGAGTACTAGCCCCACTTTGTTCAATGTTCTTATGAATGCATTATTAAATTCAATACAGACAACCCCAAATATCTAACAGTCAGCTATGTTGATGATATTCTTGTACAGTCGGGATCAAAAGTCTTACATTTAACAGCATCCAACATAAATTATATATAGATATATATATATATATATATATATATATATATATATATATATATATATATATATATATATATATATATATATATATATATTATATATATATATATATATATATATATATATATATATATATATATATATATATAAATATGTATGTATGTATGTATGTATGTATGTGTGTGTGTGTATGTGTGTGTGTGTGTGTGTGTGTGTGTGTGTCATTGGGATATACTATGAACACGACTTGTCATCACATTTTATGCCTGAGCCACAAAATGGTATAAAACCTTTAATACCGAACATCTTCAGGTACATA